GAATTCGCTATCTATTTTCCAATTCAGTTAGTCCTTTCTGGGGATATCGGTCCGGTTGAGATAAAACAAGGTGTATGTTTATTCGAATCGACCATAGATCCACCGGGCAGTCCGGTGCGGAGGCATTTTGAATTTGTTATGACCCCTCCAACCGAGCAAGATATTCCAACCAGCCAAGGGAACGATTTTACCAATTTCGGGTTTGCTGCCCCTGGGCGAGCCTTAACACTACGGTTCATAACCAGCCTGTTTAACTACGATTATCTTTTCGATGTGGTTTTTCATACGACCGGTGTTCTGGAATTCGCTGTGACTCCGTCGGGACATGTGCATATCGATGCAGTCTATCCGTGGCCCATCACAGACAGATCAGCGTCTCGGCAACCGGAAAACACACCGCATGCGTTTGGCTTTCTGTCCAACACTGATCTGCTCAGTTTTGTCATTCATCATCATCTGTTTCACTTCAAACTCGACGTGGATGTGGTTGATCAGATGAACACGTTTGACGCGGTTCATGTGTATGGACCGTTGAGTCTGAACGATTCACGAGCTAATCTTCAATGTCCTGGTCAAACTGAACCTGGTCTACCCCCCGGACTGTGGATGACTAAAACGCGGATACGGACGGAGCTGGAAGCTAGGTTTCACACGAAATTCGAATTGCCGGTCCAATATTTGACCTGCGCTAAACCGGTCCAAGATAGCCCAGTGGATAGACCGAATCATAGATGCATAAACTTGGTGAACAAGGGAGCAATCAAAACTTTGCTAAGTGACACTCATACCCAAGCATTTGCTTGGACTCGGTAAGTATTTTCATTTCTTAGCGTTTTGATCCACCGATATAACCGGATAGTGTTGAAAGCTATCATTGAAAGCGTATACAGATTTTCCAACTACATTTTAGTATGACAAAATTTAGCAAACATGCTCGCTTTTTGTATTTCGTCAACTAATAAAACAAAACGCGGTGAGTAAAACAATAATTTGTACAGTGGATAAGAGTGAATTTTCGCTTGATATGTACTGGATGCTTCTTCTAAACTGATAGGTACTTCGGTTCATCAATGGATAATCTTGACCTACGGTTAGACGCAGTTTCGTTCCCTTTTGCAAAAGTATTTTCATCGAAGTTTCTTGATTCTTTTTCATTCGTTCTCGAACATTCTGTTCTGAAAATATTAACATTTCGGTCGAAATTCATCCCACAGAGAGAGTGAGAGATAGTCCATACAGAGCAAAAAGCCGTGCAATAGTTGGTAATTTATCTTCGGAATACGTGTCTATTTAACCTTAAATGCATATTAAGAAAAGCTAATCATGAAGACTAACAGTTCACTACAGTTGCTGAACACTCACCTAGGTATCTTTTCCTTATTACCTCTCATCGTACTCTAACTTTTACTCGAGGAGTTACAGGAAAACGTTTCCCTAAATGAATAGCTCGGTCCCGTGTTGCATTGTCCCCTTTGCAAGGTCATATGGCCAAAGGCTGCTTAGTTTGAGTGATTGGCATAGGTGACTAACCATGATCTTCACGCAACGCGAGTTATGAGTTGTTTTATTCATCCCAATAAATGTATTTGCAGCTCAGTGCACACCAGGAGCACTTATCGTGGTATACTGTCACAGAGGAAATGTAAACAACAGCATGGTAAATTTAAGAGAAGGTCATATCATAATGTGAAAAATGGATATCATTTACCTCGGGTTTGTAACAAGTTGTCCCTGACGGATGCTTCCTGTGTCTGAAAGGTAGAAAGATATGGGATAGAAGACAACAGACAGTAATCCAAGTACCCCCAAGTTTATAATCACATCTAGTTACGGATGTGGACACGCATTGTAATGGATGAGTGATATCTGACATAATATTGTTGCAGAAGTTATCGTAGAAGGTAAACTGTTTGTCAGCGATAAAGTTCGACAACTGTAAACAGGGAACACCGCTTGTACGTGAAGTAATTTTAACAGACCGGCGTAGTCTTTAAGTTAAAGATGGGCAAATAAAAATGGGGAGCAACAACGGAAGTGAGTGATAACACAAAATACACAAAATTAGTGAGTAAATGCAGTGAATCTTTTAAAGATCGCGTACGACAGCTAGAGAAATAAAATTGTCGGAGCTTTACAAATTTTAGTTGAAGTGTGATGTATGATGATGATGATCTTGGGAGGTAGTAGCACCAAGAACAGCTGGGTTGCCCATGTCGAATACGAAGAAATTTCTTTCAAACAAAGGTTGCCCTTCTCCTTGGCTAGTGAGAAGGTCTCTAGATTCAGGAGTGTTAACAGATAAATGGGAACAGGAAAACCCTATGCTTAAGGTAGATAAATTGAGTTGAGTATGTGAGAAACGGGAATCACCCTGTAATTTGGAACTAGTATCGACATCATCCGCATACGTACTAAAAGATTATCCGGATTGGTGGATAAGTCTTGAATATAGGGAATAAAAAGAAAAGGGGACAGACTGTCTCCTTAAAGAATCCTGAACTTGACTGGAAGCTAGTCAAACTATTTGCTAGGAGACTTGGTAAAGTGTGTTCTACCAGTAAAATAATCCTGGGTTAAAGATAGAGCAGTATTAAGCAATCCAGCATCAATGAGTAGAGACAGAAGTCTGCCCCTTTCAACACGATTAAAGTCATTACTATGGCCGAAGAAACACAAGAAATGCTGTGCCCCACTAGTCTAAGGATTGTGAAACTGAATTCACCAAATGAGCAATGACTTCTAAGGTAGAACGTTGGATACCATATGGAGTAATCGTGGCTAGGGCAGTGGATAATTATGTTGGTGGGGTCTTAGAGGTACAAAACTTCTTTGTAGATATTGAGTAGTCCGGGTTGGGCAGCATCACTGGACACTCCACCAAAACCAACAAAGCAAATCGCCTGGAATCCAACTACACAATGTTGAGAATAATTTTATTAAGCACAAACGTTTCCTTGTTGAGTGTTCGATAACAGAAGATCAAGCTGTACGTTACCTCTTGTACAGAATTTTCCAAACTTATGAAGAAATAGATAGGTCATAAAATAAACATCGGTATGATTAAGATCACCGCAAACGATAAATAGGGAAATTCGGCGTAGTTGGAAAGTTCTGATATAAATAAATTGGCAAGTGTTTGTGCATGAGAAATTCTACTGTAGGGTGAGATGTATATCTTTGGTGCAGGATGGAACGATATATACTGAGAAAACGGGATTTGGACTCAACAAGAATATAAGATGTACCTTATGTTGTAGGTTTTTCTATAACTTTACCAAGAAGATTGGGTGTGCGTTATAAGAGCACCACCGCGGGTTCGTAGTACACAGATTGTATCCATCCGGTGCATATAATGGAAACTGAGCCCAACTACAGAATCGCTGATGTTAAGATGCAACCCTTTTTCTTTCAGCGTAACTATCCCCCACACAAGTCACTGTTTGATTTCCATAAATTTCTTGAAGTGGCTCATTTTCCCTAATGGTGAGCGTTCATTTGACGAAAAATAGCAAGTATCAAGATAGTTTGGGCTTTGTTTATTATGGAGCCTTGTACCAGCTTGCTCGGTGCTTTTTGAAGATGCTGGGTCCAGGCGGTCTGCCTTGTTTGTATCTTTCTTTAACTTGACGACTTGACTGATGAAGAACATCACTCTTGCATAGTAATTCATACGGTTTTAATTTCCTTGGCAATTCCGGGGTGTAGGTTGTCATGGAATAGACGGAAACCTTTTAATTCAAACAACTGGATCCAATACATTCAGTTATCCATTTGAGCACAGTTGAAGCTGTGCCACATTTCGAACGCCTCACCGATAGAACTTATTCAGCTCAGAGCCAACAGGGATCCATGCAGGATTGCATAGTTATACATAAACCTTTCTTCAATCGTAAACCGGTTCAGCTAATGCCGAATATCGGTGCAACGGTCAATCCAAAAGCAATTCAGTCTAGCAAGGGAAACGCAGAAACCGTGAAATTCAATAGGGCAACCTCTGGAATGATCGAATAAAAGGAAACTGAGACTACTTGAACACCGCGAGCATTCCTCACGAAACAGCAAGTAACAATGCAAGATAAAAGAATGGCAATTTAGGAGTAATCTTTAAAACACGGATGCCTCGAAATATCTGTTTGATAGGCTATTTCAGGGTCACTATATTAAAATCCATACGTTTCGTAATGAGGGTTAGCACTAAACTACTGACTGGTATGTAAGTAATGTGATGGTAAATTTGATACTGGGTTAGGAACGCTTTAGCAGCCCTCCAAGACAACCGACAATGCATTACAGTTCACTTTGGTGGTAACTTGAACCGAGCGCCTGAAACGATAAAAATCAAATCTACAGCTCGAAATTCCTGTGAACGAAGATTTCTCTCCATCAGTTTTTGTCCGCTCGGAACCATTCTCGCAAGGAATTAGCAGATAGACGGTTAAGCATTTCATTATTTCTTAGGCTGCTTGAAAATAGTAAAACAAGCTATAGGTTGCATACATCTCTTGTGTTGGATTCCCAGTATGATGTATGTGAGAGATTGCATCTAACTGATTCTCTAGCTGGGAGAAATGTGATTGAAAAGTGTGGTCTTCCTCAGGATGATCGACTAAATTAGTTTATTGTCTCGACGATGAACGGAACCGAAATATGAAATGGTCGTAACAATGCTTTGACCTTTTCGGAATGTATTGAGCAAGTTCATCAATTGGTTTAGCCTGTTTTACAAGTAATTATTAGAGATAGTAGATCATGCTAGAGATTTTGTTCGTGTGTGTATGTATGCATCCGTTTTTGTATGTTTGAGCGTCCATGACATAAAAAGACGTGGTATCACTCACCCTCATCTTAATCAAGTTAAATTGTTTGGATTAAAAGGTCGTGGGAGAGGTTGAGGTTGCACAGAAATGCTCCAGGCACTAAACGTTGCTCGTGACTCGTGAACTCACACATATTAGAATCTCCGATCTATCGGAGCCGACTGCTTTTCCTGGATTTTGTTAATCGCGGGTAAAACGAACCATTTCCGCGATAAAGTTATTTCATTTCACAAGGAAATTGAATGAGTCATAATGGACGGTATTTAATGGAATTACGAATAAAACTTAAACTTATTTGAATAATGGGGCAAAATTCTATACATTCACTCAACTAATATCGGGGGCACCTAACTAGTTTCCATACATAAATGTGGCATCAAAATGAAGGTCAAAATTTAGTAGAAAATAAAAGACGTCATCGGTAATTGTTATTATTCTACCTAATGAAACATAACGTGTCAGTCTCCTCTATCCAACGAGCAATGTCAGCAAAAGTCTCAGTATCAGCCGCGTTGACGTCTACAGCGGCACACAGCTCACAGTGAATGCACTAGAGATTTCCCCTCGACCAATAGTGGATCGTTTGCCGGTAAATTTCCTGAGTTAGGATTATTAGCTTTCATCTTAACTTTCGTCTTCTGAGTTTACATAGAAACTCGATCGATTACATAATCTTTTCGGATACACTTTTCGATGAAGTGTAGAGGCCACTTTACCAAAACGGAAAGCATGAAATATTCACGCTTGTTTCGATACCATACATTGTTTCGAAGTAGGGCTAACGTGTACAGTAATATCACTTGTTACACAAATAATCACAGCTTCTCTCGGTTGTCCATTCTTGCATTTTTTTTGCAGTTATTGGTATCACATATGATAAAACTAATTTTCATGACCACCGCCACGTAATTCACTCGGCGAAGTCAGTAAGTGTATGCATGAAGTGTGAGACTGGAATACATCGGCATATACCCGGTTGCCTCCATTGGGAGAGAAAACTTTCATCATAACGCTTTGTACAGGTTTCACCTAAAATGGTTCCAAGTGTTGTACTGTATTTTTCTGCATTGCCTTCTAAAAGGCCTGATATTCGAGATGAGGATAACTAATGACTGAACAGGTGATAAATACCCTATAAAAACTGTATACCAAGAACAAGGAAAAATACACTAAAGGATATTCAGGGGTAAACGAGGGAAGGAAGCAAGTTGACCCCTTGGGGCAGCGAAAATGCATTTCTGTAGGCTTTGCATTGGGAAAGTTTTTTGTTTGGTTGCACTGAAATTGTTGTGGTGCCTAAGAATTTCATTTTTACGCTATGAGTTTCTCTTCAAACCGGAACATGACGTCATCTATGGAGTTTAAATCAATATTGTTCCAAACATTTCCAAAAAATATGGTACCGATCTATCTTACCTCACCGAGTGATTCAAAAGAAAGTATTGTGTAGATAATGAACAAAACACAAAATCCTATATACAGGTATGAAGGTTCTGGTGATAAAAGAGATATTGATTTGCATAGAATAAAATTTGGTTTGGACCCACCATTCTTCAGACTTCACCTCCACGCACAATCCTCAGTTCCACCAGGCAACCATACACTGGGAAGTACTAGATCCGAGTTTCGCTCTCCTTAGAGCTCATCAGTAGTGCATATCCACCATACCATTCGAGCCTTGAACTCCGGACCGATTGCACGGAAGGCGTGTGAGTTATCACTTAGCCAACCACCTCACATCAGAGCTGAACCAAATTGCCGATTCATGTTTGTTCATTTATCATCCTCGGTGATAGTGAACAGAAGGATGACTAGAACAAATCGACATCAATTGTCCCAACCACTGATCACAATCGCTCAACCGCTGGTTAAATAGGAAAGAATATTGATTTTCTGATAACTGTACCAGAACTAAAACGAGGATGATAATATGGAGTTAAAGATCTCTGACAAGACAGTGGATACGCACATCTCTTGAACTCTAACAAATGCTTCCGGCGGATGGGAGAGGGGGATCGATTCAGCCTACTGATAATTTTGTGTGAGAATGGATTCAGACGGATGCCCTATAAAAGCAATAGCAATAACTATTCCAGGTCAGCAATCATAATCAGTTAGATATGAACATCTGTTTGCGAACATGAGGTTACGAAATGAACGACTATGTAGTTCCTTTCTTGTTGTCTTTCATTCGCCTAGGAGAGCTGTCGTGGGTATCATCGAATTAAGACAACTTCATTTGTAGACCCTAAGTTAAGACAGAGATAAACTCCCTTGAGTGTACATCCTACATGTTACCTTCGTCTGGATTAAGGCTAATTCGTGAAAAACGAATTCCCATTCCGAGAGGAATGTTCAGCTTCGTCCCTACGTCTGGAGTAGGGACCATGATCTGGGCTTTGGGTGTGTTCTAATTTACAAGAATGGCTCGGAATGGGTAGGTTTGCAACTCAAGTGGTGGGTCTCCCCCAGCTCGAACGCGCACAGGACAAAGAAGAACTGATAAGAACTAACTGACAAAACCTGCTTCCAGTAAGGATGGAATGTCAAAGTTCTGATTCGAAAGAAAAAGTGTTTTGTTGGACACCGTTGGGAATAATTCGTACATAAAAGTAAAAGAGGGTTGATTCAACGACATCGCTTAGATCCAACCGATTTATCTTAGGAGCAGTTTTTGTCTCATTCACTTCCATCGTCTATCAAGCTCAATTAAAGTATCCAAGGTATGAACTCTATCGAAAAACTCTATCCCGAATAATTCAATCTTCCATGGATCAATGATTTCGTTAGAACAATGTTTCTTGATTGAACTACATTAGAGATTTGACCTGATATTTTGTACAGATCGCCTGTATAGATAGTTTACTAAAGTAAATCGATCCCATGTCCATAACAAGACAGTTATTCTAACCGAGTGAACCGGCCCATTCTCAGAAAGTGGTGCATCCGATTAACCAAGAAAAAGTGTTCTAAAAACCATTAGATGTCTACTTATCAACCGTGTTCTTCGCGTGATAGTTGCAGGAAACGTGAAAAACACCCCAAAATATTATTATCTCCCTTAAACTGACCGAATCCTAGTTACAGCGAACGGAATAAAGACGGTGTCTTAGGCAATCCACGGCAAACGTTATCATTTTAATGAATCGATTTGATCACTGAAACTTTGAATCACGCACGTTTATCTCCAATCTTTCACTGAATTTTCAACTTTTAAGTGTACCGTAGTGAAACGATTCGGAGGCTCTACGAAATTCAATCCTAGAGGTGGTTAGGATCTCAGTACACCTGATCCGTGTCGGCATGAATGCCGTCCAAGTGTTTATGAGCGGCCACTAACTGCTAATAGTAAACTGGTGTACTGTATGATTTAATCAAATTACATGCTTAATCGATTTTGGAACCATTTTATCTCATAATACTCAAATGCGTCACTATTTTCTTCCAATCAAATTGTACAAATTATAGGAGAGTATAAAAATGTCTTCGTTGCCCAGCGGGTACAGCGTCCCCTGTGGAAAAGCACAAGCGAAGTCTATATATGAGTTAGAATCTTACCGAACTTTCATAATTCAAAACCAAAATAAAAATAACGCTAATTCACACACGCACACACATGAATCACGAAGATCTCTATAGGCTGAGGCAGAGCACCTGGTCAACGTTTCTCTCACCCCTGCTCGTGTTTTTGTTTTCGAATTTCAGGCACCAGTTGAGCGTTACAAGACAGCACGACAGTGAACCTCATGCCTCCTCCATCTATAACGGCGTGGACTTATTCGACCCGTATGTGAATTTCACCAAATTCAGTGAAAACAATGAAAGCATTGAGAATGAGGTGAGTGCCGATCCTGTCAGACGAAGGTCATTTGGAAGAGGGGTAGGGATTTAGCTCCCGGTTTCTCAAACGAAGATTGAATTGAATGAAGTCGTCAAGACAGCACTTTTCCCGTTTTGCCTCTGTCCGACCGTCAGCAAAATTACTACGTTTTCTAAACGTTGGATTTCCTTTGTTTGTTGCTTTCCATCCGGTAGAAAAGATATATGGCGAGATGTTCAGCGAATAACATATGAAACCTTTGCCCAAAAGTATTCATTGATATACTCAAAAGACAATCTTGGAAAGATAACCCCGGTTCCCAGCGGAGTATCTTCCTCAAACTGAGTGATGTGCGTCAAAGTTGAAATCATCTCCAGACCGCATGTTTTCCTTGCTTATCTACACACTTAAGAGTTCAGATGCGCATTATCCACCTGGAAAAGGGTGACCATGATTCTTTGACTGACTATACCTCACACCGCGTATCCGTTTACCCGTAGTTGTGGTGACTCGTACAAAGGCAAGACCAACCTTCAGCCCCCATAGCCACTATATGAAGTAGTAACTTACGCAACCAGCACATGCGATATCTAGGTGATCACAAGGATACCGATTCAGCTGTTGCAAACCAACTCATGACAACAAATCACGTAGTTTATCGTAATTTCCCCCACTAAGCCGTTGTTACGCAACCGAAACTTCTAAATTCAAGCAATTAGTGGAGCCTTAAAAATTTCAAATGAATCATCTAATTTTAAATGACAAATGTTGTTAACACATTTATTTCCCGTCGAAAAGTACTGAAACTCGGTTCTCGTAGCACAGGTGAACGGAATTCCTTATTACCTGGTTCGCGGAGCTTGGCAATTTGATGGCAAACGTTTCATTACCAGCCAAGGTGGCACTGTCACAAGCACTGATGATGTCAACGCGGTTGGTGATGAAACGTTTGCAAGTAAATCGCCAGGCTCGGTGATCAGGTGAATTGGAAATCATTTCATCTAACCTGCACCTGACCTTTTTGTTTTCATTCCTGTTTTTTTCAGTCTATTTGTACAAATCTGATTACCGGGAGTAACAGTGGTCAAAATTGACATGACCGCGACCCGCATAAATTTTGCTCATCATCGACGTTCATCGCCAGTTCCGTATTACCCGTACCGGGCTGTGACTGGCTGCAACCCCGCTTCTAAACTTTCCCTGAAAAACCCATATACCATGAATATTATTACGAAACAGAAAAAAAGTGATGATGATCTTGATGTTCGTGAGCACGGTTATTGAAAGTCATACCATCGATAAATGAAAGCTACAGTTGTAAATGTGAAACTCCGTTGGGAGTGAAAGGTATGCTTAGTAAACAGTGCAGAAAAGCGATCACAGTAGTAACAGAAGTGATGAGGATTAGGCTCTGTTTGTGTATACGTGCAATTCCGTGGACAGATCTGTTTGAACAGATCACGTGATTGCTTAACTCAAAAGGTAACGTGTGATGTTGGTTGTAGTGATGTCTCTTGCCGTGGTGGTTGATATCTGCCCAAAGCACAGTGATCAATAGTTATGTTAAATTGCAGACTAATATCCTGGTCCGAAACCGAAATGTTCACATGATCGGAATTAGAGTCAGTTCAACCAATGGCAGAGAAAAACCGAGCTTCAGGCTGGTAAACGTAAATGACCTACTGAGTGTGAGGTTGTTCAACAGATTGAAGTACACTTTTCGTTTCGACTAAATTAGTAAGCTTGCTACTGTTCTGATAATAGTGGAAGACACTGCATAAAAATTAAGATCTTACGGACAACATAAATATATTATCGGTTTGATATGGTTATCGACGAGTTTGGATCGATTGGTCGTACGGGAAAGACAAAATGGAATGGTGAACATCGCCAATGCGATTATTTTCCCCCTGCCCACGATAGTTTTCCAAAGTTGGAAAGAGGACATTCGGAGTGGGAGTAATAAATCAAATGTCATTCAATGTGAGCTCTGATCGATAATCCCCATTAACTAGCTTGTTTGTCTGAGGAATATGTATTTCTTGTTTTTACATTGCCATTAGTCAGCTGATTTGCTTGAGTTGAGAAAGTTTGACTATTCGAATGACAAAATTCGCGATCAGGTTAACTAGTGTGTAGATTGCCACCCATTATATGGGTTGTATATGATTACTTTCTTCACTTAGTAACCTGGAAAGCCTGCCAAGGGATAGAATTTTGTAACATTCACTTTATTATATAATTTCTGTCGGCATGATTAGGAGAAGAATCATATATTTTCTTAGTGAGTAGAAAAATTTCAGTAGTCAATCCCGTTGAAGACCCGTATGCCCAATCCACTGTCACTGATGCATTCTTGATCCTGAAAATTCAACCCAGTATCATCTTATTTTGGTCAATTGAAAATGGTGATCCATTCCACGGTCAAATATACTACCTGGTAATGTAACTCTACACAATACGCAAGGTGGGCTTAGTAGCTCTCCTTTACTGGCAATCAACACAAATGATATCGGTCTGCACGCGTTTCAAGGTAGTGATGGTTTCTACTTGACCGCGATGTCAGCTGCCAGTATCAAAGCACAACCGGCGTGTCTGATGTTTATCTTTCCCAGTATGCGTAGAACTATCATGATTAGTGTCCGGTTCTTGCGAATTAATAATCGTATATAATCGGTAGTATTTCCGGAAACTGCACTTTACGTTCTCCGTATTCTAGTAATTGTCCGTAACAAATGGTATTCATTTGTTCATTCTTTTTTCATCTGGAATACACTTGGGAAAAAGAAGGATTTAATACAGTAGTAGTGCCACCGTGGATTGTCTGCTCACTCACAATCTTGTAAACCTACGCTGCTCCAACACCTTCACCACTGGATCGTTTATCCACTTCCTGTTTGCTAGTCTTTTATTGGTCGTGGCTCCCTTTCCCGATGATGATTCTCAAGAAAATACATTTCGCAATTGTGGAAGAAAAACGCATGTTATCTCGCATTTGTTAAAAATAAACTTGGCCTTTCGGAGAAACAAGATAGACAAAAAATAATTTCTTAATTTCTTACTACTTTTTCTTCACGGAGACAGTGTATAGAAATAAGTGAGCTCAGTCTCTTCTTTTTTATTTTGCTTTTCTTGCCTCAATATAGGACATTGTATTGTGGGTTACCGTGGGAAATTATCATTTACCGCGACATGAGGATCTCCCGAATACCGTGACAAGTGGTGGCAAATTGGCA